GAGAAGAGAAATCAAAGTTATCCCGAATGGAGAATCAAATGGAGAAGAGACAGACAGACAGACAGATAGAAGAGAAATCAAGGTTATCCTGACCGGGCAATCAAATGGAGAAAAAAAATAAATATTTACGGGGAAAAAAAGGGTGACGGCCTCCAGATATCATCATTGAGCTGACCGACCCCAAGTAATTCAGGAAAATAAATATTTCAAACAGTTGCCGCATGTCAAATGTTGTTTTCGTTTGTCGAATTTACCAGGAACGATGAATTTTTTTTTTTTTTTTTTTTTTTTTTTGGACATTGAGGTGGCTCCTTTCCATTGGTGAGGAGCTCATTTAGTCTATCAAAAAAATATTCAATCTACGCTTTGAAGCATTTCAATGACTTCCAAATCCCAACGAAATCCAATGCTCAAAAGTAAGTTCTTTTATGATTAAAATAAAAGACAATGAGAGAATGAGTTTTAATAAAGTTTTTGTGTTGTCTTATTGGGGTGAGGTGGGGTTTGGGAATTCCAGGGGGCGTGGGCGAGGGCAGTGAAAATATGTCAGGTCTCAGAACATCTGCACATTCAAATAAGGAAGGGGCCAGTRGACGGATGGGGTAGTGTAGGTCTTGCCCATTGGTTTGGAATGCCTGGCCTGGTCTGGATCAAAAACCAAAGTAAACCCTTGGACTGCCAAACCAAACCAAGTCCGGGACTACAGTCACTGAGTCACTGTCTTCATCAGAATCTACCAATGCCCGGTCATTTTAGCTGTATTTGAGGCAACTTTCATTCTAGATACCGTGATAATGATGAGCGGGCGTTCTATCTCGGTGAGGATGGTAGAAGMAGTGGCTGCAGGATAACACCTAGCGATAATTCACACGGACTTCTCAGTAGTGTCTTCCTGTCTTAGACTACCTAATTGTGATCACCCTTGTCGTTTTGTGTTTTCCATGCGTGCGCAGATATTGTTCCACYACTACTCGGAAATGCAGGAAGGAGAGACGAGTCCTGAGCTCTAGCTTAGTCAAATGCTGAAAGAATCTTGACTTYGGATTTGCCAGTCATTTAGCATGGCTAGACAGRCAGCTCACTCAACCTCATCCTGGGTTTTTTCTAAACCTTTTTTTTCCCGAATAAATCCTTTCTTATGAAAGGCGTTAGGAGACCTTATTGTATTCTTTTGATCCCATCAGGATTCAACCTCATGTGTGTTTATTAGCACAATTGTGTGTGTGTGTACCCTTCATCGTCACGAGGTTGGGTGGCCCCAGCCTGGGCCAGTCCTACCACATTTCTCCCTTCTAGAGCAGTTTATCAGATCAATTTTGTGTGATCTTTTCTTTCCGTGTTGTGATAGTCACAGCAGGCAGTCCGTGGAGAGTACTCTTAGAGTGTGGGGTACACAACCTGAGTGACGTGTACTGAGTTCTATAACTTTATTCTTGTCAGTCCTCTTTGGAGAGATCCTTTTCCTTGAGACAAGCGATAGAACATGAAGTTGCCAGATTACAGAAAACTATGCAACACCGTGGCAACAATCTTCTTAGTGTGAGAAAGAGTGCTAGGCAGCTGTACGTGCTGGTATTACAGGACGAGATTAGTGCTTGGTTCTCCAGGTATGTGGGGCTGAAGGTGTCAGTCTGTGAGTACTCTACCGGTGCCCACGAGCTTAGAGGGTGAGTTTTTGACACCCAAACAAATATCCAAGGAACATTACAAGAAGCTAATGGATCATGCCCGCTTGGCTATAATTGACCAGGTTGTATCCAGTACAGCCGGTTCAGGAGTTTTTTTTCACTTCAATTGGGAAAGCTGTTTTGATTGGGTTGTGGCTGGAATAGGTGACGATGCCATTGGTAGGAGGCCGGAGTTGTGGCTGTATATGCTGACCGTAGTAGCCGAGCACATCGGCTCATTTAAGTACTTTCTGTTCGATTTTGATGATATTGTAAAATCATGGCTGCCCCGTTCCTACAATCCGAATAAATCGGTCATCGAGGGTTTTCTGAGGTCGCTTGCAAAAGCATTATCCTCAGGTGGTAACTCCATTGCTTCCCTTCAAAAAATCAGAATCATGGGTCTGAGTCAGTTGGATCAACCTGCCCGTTTTTTGCGAATTCTCTCTGATTTTTTTCAGCAGCCCTACTGTGGGGTTGAATGCCTTGACATCTCATTTGACAATGTTGGGAATGAGTGTGCAGCATTGATTCAAGGTATGATTTCCAATGCCCATTCATTAGAAAAGCTGGAACTCAACTTTTTTGAGTGTGTGCGAAGTGAAGGTTGTCAAGTACTGTCTGTCAACATGGTCCACGCTCTGCTGGCTAGTGAGAGCCTACAGTCTTGCAAGCTTGCGTGGGTTCCGGAAAGGGCACTCACCACTTTAGCCAAGAGCCTTGCATCTATGGACATAGGCTTTGATGGTGGTGCTCCTGCAGAACCGTTGGTCACACCCCTGAAAATGAAAAGTGGGCTACAAGGGCAGGGAGTGCGAAGAAGATCTCAACTCAAAGATGTGAGCCTCATCAACAGAAAGCTTAGCCAGGAAGCAACAACTGCCCTTGTAGCCATGCTGGCAGCAAACAACACTCTTAAGAAACTGCGCATTGATTTTGACGTCTTCCACACTTATGAGGCAGCTCAGGCATACATGAAAAAGATTGTGAAAGGGTTGCAGAGTAATGTTTGTCTTGAAAAGCTCGATTTGGGATTTCTCAATATTAATGAAAAAAATATGACACTCCCATCTGAATTGAGGGCAGAGATGCTCTCTACCTTGGAGTCCAATAAGACACTTCAGGAGTTTGCTTTCAATCGGAGATCTGACAGAGTTATTGATCGTAAGTTGTCAAAAAACAAGACTGAACGCCGGTTGCTCGAGGCTGGTGGAGGCTTGGAACGCACTACCAGCAGCCACATCAGATGCTTTTTGGCCGGTGAACCTGAAGTGGGTAAGTCAACTCTGAAGGACTCGATCTCTCGTGGAGCATTGGAGTACTGCATAGACAAGATRAAGCAGATGACACCTGGTGATCGGCCTGCCAAACCTCGAACGAAGGGCATTGAGATGGTCCATGTCGCATCGAAAGGGGTCAACATCCAGTTCTGGGACTTGGGTGGACAACCTGAGTACCACACCATCCACGATCTGTTCATGCCAACTCTAGGAGGGGACATGACAGTTCCACCCATCTTCTTGCTGCTATTTAATCCGCTGATCGAATGTGAGCAAGTAAGCAGTGGCAACTCAAGTGGAGACAGCTCGGCAGCTGCAGAAGTTGAGAAGAGACAGTGGGATAAACTTCTTCAACGACTGAGGTATTGGTTGAGATTCATCGCGACAAACTGCAAAGCCGAAAGAAAGCCTTGTGTGATCCCAGTATGCAATCCTCACTTGACTCAGAAACAAAAGTTGTCTGACTTGTACCCTTGTGCGGGTAAGGTGGTCCGCTGGATATCTGAGGAGTTTCAAGAGACACTTGATATTGTGAATAAGGTAGTCCTTATTGATGCGAGAAAGAATAGCRATGCAAAAAATATCAAGAAGTTCTTGTTCAGTAAGGCCGAGGAGCTTCTTCACAACACCAATGTGCTGCAAATCATGGAGAGAGTGCAAACGTTGGTGGTGAAGTCCAGTCTATCAAGAATGCCCCTTATGACATGGACCAAGTTTCGTGGAATCTGCTGGCCAGGAGATATTGCAAGAGAGTATCAGGAGAGAAGTCCCAGTGGAGCAGAATTATCGGGACCTTGTAAGACTGCGTTGGATGGCAATCTCCTCCTGAAAGT